CCGTTAGTTATTATTACATTTTTATTTTCATCTTTTTCTTTTTTTTTTTTATTTTTTTGTTGCAAAACGTGTTTAAGAAAAAAGCCGACATACGCTGCAGCGAAATCCCGGAAATACCCCCGTTCATTTTTTTAGCATTTATTATTATTATTATTATTATTATTATTATTATTATTATTATTATTATTTGTATATAATAATTTGATGGAAACAGATTGTAAATGCACGCGCACATGTTTAAACGTGTTATCGAATGAGTTTTGGATCTCCATCTCCACACATGAGATAGTTTAATATCCTGAAATCCAAACCTCCTTGTAGCTTTGGCAGAGTAAGGAAATCCAAATTCTTCCAATAGATATCTCTGTCACGATTTCTCCCTTTGCTACACCAAAATTTGGCTGTCATACGGCAATTTCTTTGCAAATACCGGTTGTTAACTTAAAACAAGACCTTGCAAAAACAGGTAATGAGTTGATAACAACTTTGATAAGCACCTCCTTCCCAGCAGTGGAGAGATACTTGTTCTTCCAACTTTCAAGCCTCTTTCTGACTGTTTCAGTGACAAACCCAAAGGTTCCTTTTTAGATTTCCCAATGCGAAAGGGCAGCCTCAAGTATTTGGCTGAGTTGTGAGTAGTAAGACCATCCAGTACTGAAGATGTTGATTCTAGTATGGCTCAAGTGTTCTTGCTAAAAAACACTGTGGATTTGGACTTGTTCACTTTCTGTCCTGAGAATTGACCATAAATTTGCAAGATGTCCATCAGAAGAATAGCTTGCCCCACATCAGCTTTACAGAACACCAATAGATCATCAGCAAACATGAGATGTGTTAGCAATGGTGCACCTCTAGCAAGTCTCAATCCTCTGAAAATACCTCCATCGGCTGTAGCTCTTACCAGAGCAGATAAAGGCTCTGACACAAACAGAAAGAGATAGGGAGAGATTGGGTCTCCCTGTCTCAGTCCTCTAGATGGATGGACATATCCTACAGCTTCCCCATTGAGCATAAAGGAAAATGTTGCAGATGAGATACAAAACATAACCCACTTAACAAAAGTTGCAGCAAACCCCATTTTGGTCATTAACCAATGCATCTTTATTCTACTCGGTCATATGCCTTCATCATATCAATCTTTAGAGCCATAAAGCAATGTTTACCAGATCTATGCCTGTTCAGGTAGTGGTAGCTTTCATGTGCAATGATAACATTGTTTAGAAGCTGTCTTCCAGGTAAGAATGCTCCTTAGGTTGTGCTAATGCAGTTGTGAAGGCAAGCTTTTAATCTGGTTGCAAGAACTTTTGAGATCACCTTATAGACGACTGCACATAAGCTGATGGGTCTGTACTGATTCAGAGATGTGGGATTTTCACATTTGGGGATGAGGGTCACCAATGTATGGTTCCAATATCTGAGGAAGGTACCTGAGAGGAAAAAGCTCTTAACATCAGTGCATAGATAATTTTGAATAACTGGCCAGAAATGCTGATAGAATAGGGTTGTCATGCCCTCTTCTCCAGCTGCCTTCAGGGGATTCATAGCAAACAGACTATTTTTGATATCTTCATTCTCAACTGGAGCAGTGAGCTTATCATTCATTTCCTGAGTTATGGATTGAGGAATGTGCTGTAGGATCCTGTGCTCCCCTATTGAACCCTCTGAAGTGAAGAGTTCCTGATAGAACTTAGAAATGTGGTTTTGAATCTCTTATTTAGTCTCCAGGGTTCTAGATCTGTCATCTAGCATTCTAGTTCTGGCATTCCTTTTTCTTCTCTGTACAGTAACATGAAAGTAGCTGGAATTTTGGTTCCCTTCTCTCAGCCACATGTTTCTGTATTTTTGCTGCTAGAAGATTTCTTCAGAACAATGAGCCTCTTCAAGTTCTTGTTTTATGCTCTCTCACTCTTCCCAGTTCTTCCCATTGCCCAGCTGTCTCATTTCTTCCAATCTCAGGGTGAGAGTTTTTATCTTCTTGATGTTGTCTGTGCCACTCTTCTTACTCCATTCAGATAAGGCCATCCTGGTAACTTTGATCTTTTCTTTGAGTTGGAAAAAGGGGGTACCTAACTGCAATTGGTCCCAAGCTTTAGTTACCACTTCCTATATTCCAGAATTGATTATCCACCTTTTATCAAAATTAAATCTCCTCCTGTGCTTAACAATGGAAGATTCAGTTTGCAACAACATCATTCCATGGTCAGATGCACTTCTAAACTTGTTTGTCACATGTGAGCAAGGGTATCTGTCCAGCCATCCCAATGATCCAAAGGCAATATCCATTTTCTCCTCCACCATTCCTTCTTCACCTCTATTTTTACTCCAGGTAAACTGGTACCTTTTCATACAGTTTTCTAGCATGCCCATGATGGAAATAAAGTTCTGAAAAGGGAGAAGACTATTAGCAGATCTTGGCCTCCTCCCTTGTTTGTTAGAAGCTATGTGCAGGTCATTCCAGTCACCAATCAAGCACCAATCATCTCCCCAGTTTATCTTCTCAGCTTCCAGGCATTGCCATTGAGACTGTCTAATAGGAATTTCAGTACTCATATAAACAAATATGATCCAGCAGGGATCTACATCATTAGAGGTCCTATATTGCACCTAGATAAAAAATGAAGATTCCACCATTTGCAAAATTGTTACATGCGGATCCCAACATAACAACAAGCCCCCTCTAGATCCTACAGGTTCCACAAAAAAACATCTATCTGCAAAACCCAACTTCTTACAAACTAAAGCAGTAAACTTTTTGTTTTTCTTGGTCTCAGACAGAAAAAGAAACATTGGGTGATGAGTCTTTAAGGACTCTCGAATTTGAAAACTGTAGAGGGACCACCCAAACCTCTACAGTTCCACATCAGGGCTAGCATTGATCACTCTGTGCCCAGTTAAGGCTTGCCACCACCATCTCATTGCCTGTAACTTTGGCTTTCTTAGAACCCTGCGCTTGGGATTGGGCTTCGCCATCTTTCTCACTGTGAATGTGGATTCCTCCTCTTCTTTTTCTGGCACCAAACAAGTTTTTGCTGTGTATCAGGAAGATTTACCTGTCTTTTCAATCTCCCCACCATTGGCTTTTTTCTCTTCCACACCCTGCTCTTTTGCTTTTGGCTCTTCTCTTCTGGAACAAGCCTTACATGTTCACCTTGTTCTTGTGTCTCCAGTCTATTCTCCTCCCCTTCAGGGATTAATTCCAAGCTCCATTCCTTCTCAGGGTTGGGTTTGGATTGAGGAGTTATAGGCAAGTTGACTTTGGTTTTGCCCTGGGGGCTCTCTATTCCTACTAGTGATGAAGAAGATTCCACTGCACATATATGATTAGATGAGTTGTCTATAATGGGAGAGCTGTGGTCTTGTCCATATGCCTCAGCTTGATCATTCTCTTGTTCTCTTGCTGAGTTTGCATCTCTTCCCTTTGCTCAGGTGGCTCATTTGTCATGGAAGGTCTATTCGCTGAAGGATCACTATTATAGCTAGCTGGTGGTGAACCAGATATTACCACACCCTTCATAGCCTTCATCCAGTCCCCATGTTGCCTCGTCTTCAACTATCTCTTAGCTATATCCTCCTTCTGTTGAGAGCAACTTTTATCAGTATGGCCTAGTTTCCCACAGTAGTAGCAAAGGCTAACAATTTTTTCATATTTGAAGTGGACAGTGACCACTTCTTCTCCCAATCTAATATGACCATCTGGGGAGAGGGGCATTCAAATCCAGAGTAACATGAAGCCTGATAATTCGCCCCCCTTGAAATCCCGCTCTCGCCAGGTTCACATTTTTTATGTCCTTGAAAAATGGTTGTTTTCATGGTTGTTTTCTTCTGGTGGTGGTGTGTTCATCTGGTAAAGGTCCGAGCATCTAGTTGCTGCCTTTGCTCTGGTTTATTGCTCTTTCTCTATGTTTCATTAGTCTTGCTTTGCTAGTTTATTGTTCTTTTTTTGGTGTTTCTTTAGTCTTGATTTGCTGCTTGTTGGTCGGGTATGTTTTAGGTTTCTTTTTGTGTTGTTGATGTTAGTTGTTTCAAGACACCATTGGTGTATTTCTCTTGTTTTTATTTTTTGTCTGAGATCAGTTGATTCCCCTGAGTTGTAGAATTCTTTATTTTGTGCTATGAAATCTTATCTGTCGTCTTCGGAAAAAAAAAATGTCTAATTTACACTAGGAACTCATGTTATTCTTGATTTTATTTCATTATTTCATTTCTACATTAACATATCTTCTAAATTAATTATTATTTCTTGCTAAAAGATTAATCGGCAAAAAAAAATAAAAAATTATTACTACGTGCATCACACATGCACTTGTGAAGATACAAAATATGAAATGACCTGATTGAAAAAATATAAGTAAATGAAAATGCCAATACTGTAACATTGTAGATAGGAGAATAACTCATAATACAAACAATGATCCAAAGAGAAAATTAAAACATAAGCGAAACGCCAGAAAAATACACTTAAAATGAATGAGAAAAATAATTGAGTCAGAGATCTACTCACTGCACGAACTATCCTAGTATATGATAATATGCTTTAGCAAGACATAATATCTTCATGAACATTGAAAATCACAAGGTGGTCAGATTAAAATAACTATTTATTAGCTTAATCTATTCACAGAGAGACCCAACATTTTCTTTATGAACTCTCACACGATTTCATGAATGTTTTTAAAATCTCTTATTCAACAACAGAGGCAACAAACCAGCAACATATCACGAGTGCGTTCAAACAATGACTCAATTTGCAAAAATTAAAAAAAAAGTACATGTTTTAAACCAACTTAAAGTTTTGGTTAACAATTGCAAACTTCATAAAGGCCGTGATTTTTGTAGCCATTTAAACCTAATAATTAAAGAGATTTGGCAAAATTAAACCGGGAGTTGTTTTTAAATGAGAACTGATATGGGATATTATACCCAATAGGCTGAGCCGGTCTACGGACCGGTTGAGGAGGTCATATTCTGAAAAAGTCGAGAGAATCGAGCAGTCGCTCAGTCGACCAAGCAAAGCTGTCGACCAAACTATTCATCGACCAGATAGGCGATCGAGCATTCTGATTCGACCTCAACAGGTCGATTACTTCGAGGACTTAACACCACGCTGTTCGGCCTAGTCATAGGCGCGTGAAGGACGCCTCTGACAGAATTCCAGGAGAATATTTACCCCATGTGCAGGGGGACACGTGTCGAGAAAGCAGTGGTGGATAGCGATAACCACCCCTGACAGCCTACCCCATGTGCAGAAGGACACGCGTCCAAAGAGGATTGGTGCAGGCGATAGTGGAGACGGCCGCCTCTGACACACGCGTTTGTTGTACGGACGGGCAGCTAGGGCAGACAGCTCATCAAATCCGGGCAGCCCTAGGTCAGGTATCTCACCCCTATATAAAGGGGGTGAGCCTTTCTTCTTCAACACGATCATTCTATTACTCTTGAGAATTGATTGAATACACACTGACTTAAGCATCGGAGGCTCTTCACCGGAAAACCCCTCCGGTGTGAGAGTTCTTTGTAGGTACGCGACGTTCAACCGGCGAGAAGGAAGGCGATTACTCAAGTTCCAGCCGGTCGAGGAGTTTTGTGTTACCAAGAACCATATCTATATATATAAAAAAGGGTTGATGGAAAAATCAGAAATAGAAACTTTAAATAATTGTGTTGGCTTTTTGACTTTCTATTTGTAGAATATCATTAAAATTCTTGATTTTTTTCTTTTCATGGAATTAAAATCTTTTCAGTTCAATTTCTGTTAAAAGCTTGCTTAATTATCGGGAATAAAATCTGTTAAAGGTTCGCTTAATTAACGGCAATAAAATCGCACCTTCAATATAATCCGCCATCATTAAAATTTGCCTCCATCAGCTTCAGAAAAAATCCCATATAATCCGCCGGTCACTTCAATAAATTTCGCTTCAATTAGCTTGAGAAAAAATTCCATATCATGAAAGAACTGAAACTCCATTTCGTCCAAAATCCCCTTCTCCTCCGACGATCTCGATTAGCTTGAGAGAAAATCTCACATAATTAAAGAACCCGAAACCTCAATTCATCTAAAATCCCTCTTCTTCTCCATCGAGATCATCGGCGGCGATCGTCACGAGCTCTCCATCAGCTTCGGAGTCGGGCTCGGTTCTGGCCCGTTGCTTATGTTTAACTACATGCCGACGAATCCTGCCGCCCGTCGGTTGTGGAAGCCCTGGGTTTTTGCTACACTTCGAGTTCAGATCTTGAGATTTTTTTTTTCAGATGTTCGTGGAAATGGCAGATTCGGCTGCAGCGAGACGACGATGTTGGGGACAGCCGTTCGCCAATTTCATGTATTTTTTTCTATTTTTAGGAGATTTCTGTTTTGCTTTTTTTTTTGTTTGTCGTTTTAGTTTGGTGATTTTCTTAGTAAAATTGGGTTGTTGAGCCGTGTCAAGCGCCGCCTTCCGGAAATAAATTGTTGGGGCTGGGAAAGTCTTTGTTTACATGATATTTTTCATTTGCCCGTTGGATGCACCTGGAAAAAAAAGTCCTCAAGATAAAAGGCATTTCTGCAAGCTGGCTTTTGACTTTGAGCATTTGTTGAAATGGCTCGACGCGTCTGAGCGGACGGTACGTAAATAGATCGTCAATATATATACGATCAACATCATTAATCATTTGATATAGTATTCAAATATGTTACGTTTATCCTTCATCCTTTCTGAAGTTTCAGTGAAAAGAAAAACTTTTCTTCGACTTCATCATTTCATGGAAATTAATTTAGGTGACGAGTATTGAATCTTTTATTTTCATAGCATGTTATATAATTATTTTCTCGACTCCAATATTTTTCCTAATTCTTGTGTGGTTAAATGCAAGAGTTTGGTTGTTCCATTGCCATATTGATTCATAGCTGACTTGGGGACGGTTAAGAATGTGAAAGGCGAAATCTTGATCCATCGAGCCGCCGACCGATCAACACTCATGTTAAGGCTTTTTATGAACATGATTTATTTTCAATCTGTTTTATTTTTAAATCTCACTCATAAGAATAATGTCATGCTACTTTAGGATTTTCATACATATTTTTAAAACTGATCTTGAATATATTCATAACTAACAGATTAAACGCTCCTCCTTAGGTGAGATAAGTGTTTTTCAAATTCAAAATCCCACGAAATCGGCTTGATTGATTTTCTCATGTTTTTCCTCCTATTTATCAACCTTTTGAATATTACATTCGGGGGTGTGCTGAAGGTTTTAGAAAATGGGCTCTGATGCTATGAGTGAAGAAAAGTGTGTGCAGTATGTGTGAAGGGGTGAAAAAATAAATAAATTGTGCTTTGTGTGCGCTTTATGTGGGTGAGAAAATAAAACCGAGTGTAGTGCTTGTGTGAGATGTGAGTGCGTTGTGCATGCTTTGTGAATATACATGTGTGCTGTGTGAGTAATAGTGAAAAACAATAGTGTGTGTGTGATGTGAGTGTAAGAAAAAAAATTAAATAAGTGTTGTTTGTACTTGCAAAAACAAGAAAAGAGAGCAGGGAGGATGAGAAAATACAGAGTGTACTTTCATGTGTTCTTTCGTGAATATTCCAGGGTTTGCTTTGTGCAAGACTTTGTGCTGCTCAAGTTTTGGGTGCTGATGGTTTGTGTATCAAGAGTAAGTAAAATTTTTAATTTTTCTTATATGAAAGAATAAATATAAATACTAAAATCAAATTTATATTAAACTTAAACGAACAAACACTATGTAAATGACTTACTTAATGTCTCTGTCCCGTGCATCGCACGGGCTACGTACTAGTGCTGTATATGAGCATGAACCAGCATCTCAACAAACAAAAAAGAGAATCTCCAAAATTCATTTGAGCAGATATTCAAAGAGAGAGCCATGAGATTCGAATGACATTGAAAATTTCGATCCTAAGACAGGACAAAAATCTTCCAACTTCCCTGAAAATTCCAAACATGAGACGAGTCAATTAGAAGATGCGCTGGGGTTTTCCCATGGTGCTCTTCAAGTACAAGCACCTCACCTGTTTCACAACAATCAGCACCTCTTAGCAAAGAAAAAAAGGGAAAACAACACAGGAAGGAACAAGTCTTCAGTTGAAAATCGTGCAACAAGTCATCGGTAATGTGTCCGCTCATAATTAAGCAGGTATTATCAAAGTGGCGTGGCATATCGTGATTCGACATATAACATATATCACAACACAGATGAAAATCATCACACCAAATAATTGATCCTAAAAGAACCAAATACAATGTAGTTGGTATATACAAATATGTGAAGGAAATTATCAATGCATGAATGTACAATTGGGAGGAACAAAAATAATGAAGCCAAATATGAGCAAAGATCTTTAAAGCAGCAATAGAAATTGGGTTATATACTAAGAGGAACAAGGGAAGATGGGACTCACATTCTGCCAGTTCTTCTTTAGAAGAGAAACCAAGAAGTTGACACTCATTTGCACGTTCTGAAAGATTTGCTTCTCTTCCATGTCTAGGTTGCCAACAGCTACTCCCATGCAGAGAACCTTCTTCAGCTGGAACTTGACAGTGGCCTTGGTCTCGTTCACCTTCGACTCTAGAGATTCTTGGTGGGTCACGAGGGTGGGGAACTTGCCTGCATTATATTGAAAACTCAAACAATGTAAGTGAAAAGGGCAAGGGAATAATTAAGAATGTCTTTCTATGAGCAGCAGGTTTGTTAAAAAAAAAAAAAAATACCTGCTTTGTTGAGACCAGGTCCCAAAAGACGAGGGATCTGCTTGATAACAGCTTCTGAGGCTAGGAAAGCATGATACTTCTTGGCGAGTTTCTTCACCAATTTCTTATTCTTGTTCAGCTTTTTGAGAGCCTCCACAACCATGGATTCCAGACCAATTTTTGCTGCCTGCATACATGTTGGCACTCATTGTGAGTAAAAATGCAGTTAGACTGTTAGAGATAAAATCCATTTAAGATATGGCAAAACATCATTTCTTTGTGTTGTGTGTGTGATTGAGATTTACTTGTGGAAAAATATCAAATGTATCTCCCGATGTATATCATACTCAGATCAAGCACATAAAATATTCATCCTAAGATGCCAGGCTAAAACAATTCTGCAATTTAATCACATGTTAAACATAGCTAACAAAATAACTATTATCACAAGCATATTTCAAATCAAGCCACTGTCTGTCATTGTAAGAAAACACAGTTTTTACTTCAACTAAATAGTAAGACAGATGACACAATGCGACATATGTATCAAGATATTGTCATTCCACCAAATTACATTACAAGCACTAAACGATAAACAGTCCGAAATGCTCTTTCAAAGATATGCACTCTGAAAAGAACCCACTACACTGAAGGCAGGATTTACACATCAAAGAAAATAGTATGACGAACAGTTTCATACCTCTTCCACATGCTGGGCATCACCAAGCATGCAAATCTTCATTTTGGGCCGAGGAATGTGGGGCAACTTAACAGAACCACTGAAACGCTTGTCCTTCTGTGGGTCATAGTTTTTCAGCCCAATCTGGAGCTCAATAGTCTCTGTAAATTTTCTCTTCTTCTCTTTAGAATCAGAAGTAATCTGGGTAATGGCTTCTCTCACAGCATCACCCTGAAGCTTACTGCAAGAGATAACAACAAAACCACATACACAGAGCTGACATCAGCTACAACTCTCACAAGCATTTACCGTAGAGAATTTATTTCTACCAGAAAATGCAAATCAAGTGTTCCACAACTAGGGCTACAACCCATAATCAGTTCAGTTCACCATATTCGAATTCCAAACTCCACAAAATATTTAAAGACAATAAGAGATGAGCTACGACAAACGCAGACCACAACTCACTCGGCATAAATCCGAAGAACAGTTTGTACTTTCCATTAAAATGACAAATCATTTCAGGGAACAAAAATATTTCAAAAGGAACGAAGAAAATGCTAAAAAATGAACAGTAGCTGTCTACATTATCAAAAAAAAAAGAAAAAAAAAATAGAAGAGCAAAACCAAGAAAAAGAAAGTGATAGAAAAAGCTTCATCTTACCTCATGGTTCAAGGTTTCCTTCTATCTTCCCAGCTCAATTCTGTACATTCAACAACGAATAATCCAAAACAAATAAGCATTAGCCTCAATGACCTAAAATGCGAAATCGACATCACAGAACAATGCACACAAATGAATAACCCAGTACCTTGGAAGGAGGACGGTAGAGGAAGAACCTGATGAGAGAACCCGGGACTAGGGTTTCTGCGACTATCAAATGAAGTGGGTCTGGACTCTGGACAAAGAATCCATAAAAGGTTTAAGGCTTTCTTTAGTTGGGCTCACTAGACCTCATTGCCAAGTCATTAGATTAGTCCAACTTATAGAAAAATCCAACATGTTTGTAAGTGGGAAAATTACGCCCTATCTAGATATATTTACATATATACCATTCTTGCAAACATTAATCAAAATATGAGTAATAAAGGATTTTTATTTCAATAGTACGAAATTGTAATTTATATATATCAGAAGATCCATTTTTCTCTCTCTCTATATATTAATAATGTCATTCAAGTGGGCGAGATTCACGCATGAGTAACGGAAAATTTATAAAAAAAAATAAATAAATAAACATGGCAAATATGATACCTATAATTCAGGTAATTAAAAATTCTAAAATTGAAACGGGATTAACATGTCAATTTTTTTCTTGCAGTGCGAAAAAAAACACGAAGAGAAGATATAAAAAAAAATGTCAAGATGTTTGTGAAATAGAGCGTGAAATAGCAATTGAGCCAAAACTCTTGAAGGTATATTTCATGTTTATTTTATTTTATTTTATTTTTTTGTGGTGATCAATACGAAATTATAGTGTGTTTTTATTATGTAGAATGGAGTAGCTATAATGTTGGATTAATTGTACATATATCTCTCTTATACTTATAAGTAAATATGTGAGGCCTTTGTTGCTCGCCACGTGGCACCTTGTGGAGGCAACATTCTTTCATTTTGTATGAAAACACACCTTCTCTTGCTTTTGGAGCCACGTGGTACCCTTTTCTTGCCTTCAATTTGTATGAAAACGACGACGTTTTGAGACATTAGGAAACTCAAACACGCAACAAACTCCTTTTCCCACTTTCTCTCCATCAGGCATCATCCCCATGAAACCTAATTCCATCAATGCGACTGTAGCGTTTTCCACTTCCCACAACTTATCTTCTCTCAGTCGCTAAGGTGCGGCCTCAAGTGTCCATTCAACAGCGACGCAATCGAACGACGGGTGGGGCCGCTCTTCAGTTGGTCGTCAAAGCCGACTCAATCAACAACGGGTCAAAATCTAGGTCGGTCGAAGAAGTTTGTGAGGTTTTTTCAGCGAGGGCAAATCTTATAATCGTCCCCGATTCTCTTCAGCGGAATCTTGAGCCTCTTTACCAAAAAACCCTTGTTCCTGTATGTTTTTCGCACTTTGTATCTCAAAACGTCGCCTTTTTTTGTTCTAGCTGTGGGCGTGGTCGTGTCGGCGAATTCACCGTCCAAGGTGTGACCAGTAGTGGCTTTACTGTGTTGGATTTGATAGCGTCGCCAAAAAAA